TAAATTTGTAAATTAACATATGTAACACTTGTAAATTTCTTTACAAGTAGATATACATAACATAAATTAACATATATGCTTTTGTATTAATGGATAAATATAAGATGATCTAAAAAAGGGAGTGCAATTTAAAAATCTTTTAAATTACTTTCTTGAAACTTAGACATAAAAAATAAAAAAAGGTAATTCATCAGGTTGACCATCAGAGTGACAGCTGCTCTCTGCAGCAGTGAAGCCATCATCAGTGTCATGCTGCAATTGAAGAATTATTTTTAGTCAGTTAAAGAACTTCATATTTAGTATGGTTAGATATGGCAATTTTGGAAAGGTTCATGTTTTCAGTTTGATGGTGTAGGTTTGCAAGGGAGAAAATTTCTTTTCTTTTAGCATGTGGATAACGTATATTACTCAAAAGGAATACAGAGCAGTGACAGCTTTTATTTTTGTAGAGCTGTCTAGATTTTGCCAGAGATCAGATGTGTCAAGAGTTTGACTGAAGAGCCTGGTAAAGGGCAGATGTAGCTGGACAGCCCTGACTTCACTCGGGCATGCTAACTTGCTCCTGATGCAGTACTGCAGTGAGATTTGTCATCATATTAATGGCAGTGTGCTCTAAACTTTGATATCTCAAGAAAGGTAATGGCTCTTCATATAGCACTCAGAGACAGAGGCTAAAAGTGTACTTAACTTTGTCAAAAAATATATTTGAGGAAAGAAGGCTGTGAATTGGCTTTAGCAACCTTTCTCATATGTCACCAAACCACATGAGACATGGGGACAAAGACAAAAGCCTGAAAAGAAGAGCTTTGTGTATTGGCAGTGTATTCAGAAGTAAATGGCAAAAAAAGAACTTTACACTCTTTCCAGAGAGGTCTGAGAATTTGTGGTTAGGGCAGTAGCTGCCGTCTGGGTGGCTCTCAGCTAGAGCTACTGAAAGAGTAATGCTGTCCTGAAATAGTTCTTCTAAATTACATTAACATTAGATAATATTTTGGTTGCTTTATCTAGTATTATTTATTGAGTGATAAGTATAGCATCATAGGATGCCTTTTGAATACTAGCTTTATTTTTCTGTAAAACAATATGAGTGTAAATGTATGATGTAATGGGTTTGTTTATTATTTTCTACATTTTTGTATAATGAAAAATCGATGACAGAAATTTTATTGTTCAATATATTCAGCTCCCTAGAAGAGTAAAGTCACCTGATAGACCCTCCATAAATGCTTTTTGGTTCAGTGAGGTTTTTAGACTATGAAAGGCAAGACAAATGAAAATGAGCTTCATTTGAGGAGAATAAAATGAGAAATTTGGAATTTCTATGTTGTATATACAGTCATTTGGTGGAATATTTTAAGCTTCAGATAATTATATGAAAGATTAAATGTGAAACACAAACTTCTTACCTGCAGCAACATAAGATAGCTCCTCCCACCTCCAAGATTTTAGAATCATTTGAATGCTATTTCCAAGTCAATCTTATAAAACCATATTTGTTAGTTGTCAGAATATAGAAGGTACAAACTAAATTATTGCCTGAAAAGCAAATACAATCAATTTTTGGTTATCACACCGTTTTTTAAAAATGGACAAAAAATAGCAAGAGGCACAATGGTAACCATTTTAGATCACCTGATATCTATTTTTACATTATGTACTATGCCCATTCTTTTGTTCTAACAGACTCTGTTTTGTTTAGCCATGTTAGGTTTTATTCTCTCAAAAGAAATAGTAAGAATTGTGGGAGTAAAAGAAACCCAAAAAGTGTAATTGTTATTAAAAAGAGAGGAAAGGAAGGTGGTCTAAGTGATATAACTACATGTATGTTTGAGTGTATAGGATGGTAATCCATATTACCGAACTTTTGTTGGATCATTGAACGGCACTGTCTGCAATCTCCTTGTATGAATGTGCATTTTACATGCTTTAATTTTATAATTCGGACAACCATTTCAAAGATGACAGTAGGTAACCTATTAATTAGTGAAATCTTACTGTATTTTTTCCTTGAGATTCTGTATTATTTGTACCCTTCCACTGCTTTGTTTTTTTATTTTATTTCCTTTCTCTTTTTTTTTTCTCTTTAAGTAAAAAAAAAAAAAAAAAAAAAGAACATTCACTAGATTTCTGGAGTATAACATTATTAGTCAAGGAGGTTCACAGAGAAAATTTACATTTAGGGAACATGACCAAAATTTGATATGGGATTTATTTTTTTAAAAAGGTACAATGCCACTTTGGATGTGTTATTTGAATGGCTTTTCATTTACCTAAAATTATTTAACAAGATAATTAGTTTCATTTCCTGTGTTTCATTTCTTTCAATTTAAACATAGTGAAACTAAAAATGAAAATGCTCATATTTAAAGCATTGTATCTGAGTGTATTGAAAAGTTTAAATTACTTTAAAACAGAAGCAGATATAAATTAAGGTTGAAAAGAAATATTTATAGAAATTATTCATTTTCTTGTTGTTTAAAAGCAAAGAAATATATCACATTCCCCAGAATCAATCCATTTCTCAAAATGATAATGAGTAAATCTATTCAAAAAAACTTTACCAAATTTTATTGTGCTGTTTTCAAAAATATAAATGATCCTGAAATGAAAATATGCAGGATCTTAGATCAACTACTGCTATTTCTGGAGATAAAATACTTGCGTTCATTTCAGTTATTGAAATGATGTGTCATCAGGTTGTTCTCATCTTGAAGGTTATTAAATGAAAACAAATTATTTTGAGTCAGAAATAAAGCAAAATAACATCATCTATGAGAAAGCATAATATTAAAAATATAAGTAGTAAAATAGAAGTCAGGTGGGCTTAGTTAAAACCCACAAAAGAACATGATGCTATTTTTCTCTCTTTCGCTAAGATACAGATTTCTCTTCAATTTTAAAAAACAATTTCCATTCAGTATTTTCATCATGTTAAAAATGTTGTGGTCTTTTATGCTAATGTCATGCTTGAAAAGGAAGATTTGAAGATTTAATTTTCTTAAATCTTCATGCAAATAAAACCTTTTTGTAAGAAACATGTGATAAACTATCTTCAGAGTTCAGAAGACCGGCATAGTGGACTGCTCCAGACCTGTATCCTTTAAAACCTTCTGGACAGTGTGTTCTCCAGGAAATTCTCCCATTCTTAGCTGTGATGAAAGGAACAAAAGATTTGACTCAAAATAAAGACCTTTTAGTCGTATATCAGATTGTAACTTAGAGCCAGTGAGGTCCTCTGTGAGCTTGTCATTTCCTCCACACGGTGAGGATGATAATAACTTCATAACTTTGCTAAAGACACACTGAAAGAAACACACATTTAAGTACTTTCAATAGTTAATGTACGATGAGTCAAAAAGACATAGTAGCATGGTCAGTCCACTTGAGGCTCTGTCTTAATCATGTGTTTATGTTCATTTAATTTTTTAATACTCAAAACAATCTTATGAGGGAGATATTTTTGTTTCTACTTTAATTATAATTAAAATAAGACAGAGATGCTATTTAATTCATTCAAAGTCATATCATAAACAAGTTGAAGAACTCGAGTTTTTAAAGAAAAAAATCTATACCCACTAGTATTAATATTATATTTTTTCTAAAAGAAATTATGAGTTGTTGTGACATACCATGATGGCCTCTCCTAATGATTGTGCTTTTTTTTGTGTTGTGTGTGCCTAGAAGTCATAAAAACAAGGCCTGAGTACTTTATAAATTATAGAACATAAACAAAAGCCTGCTGTTTTAATGTATAAATAAATATAAAAAGTATAAAATAAATATGAATAAAATAGCATTAAGTAAAAACAGAAATAAAATAGTTTCTTGTGTCCTCTAATAAACTTTATCTGCAACTAGTATAGTGAAAAGAAGAATTCTGGGCAGAAATAGAAACTGGAGGACCTCAGACACCATTACAATCTGCCAAAAGTGGTTATTCTTATAAAGAGGATTGTGCAATCATCTAAAACTAGCCAATCACATGAAAATCTGGATGTCTGCTTTCTCCTGGGATAGCAGTAGACCTGGAAATATTGTTTTTTTCTTCCCACATAACAACCATTGATAGAAGCTGATCACCAGCTGGTCTTTTTAGACAAACCCAGAACACTAAATTTTATCACAGCCTCCCCAACTTCATTGTCATTTAGGCTGATTCATTCTTTTTCTTTGCTTGGCTTCCTCTTTAGTCATTTGAGTTTGGAATCTGTGAATCAGAGAAACAAGTTCAAATCTCTGTTGCATTGCAATCTATAATTGGAGATATTTTGTGCAATTCTGTAATAATAATACTCTAAATTTACAAAGAAATTGAGCATATCCTTCTTTTAATAGGTTTTCTGGTATGCTAACTAGCTGCTAATTTCTTAATCATTTTTTTAAATTAGAAGTTGCAAAATAAGACAAAAGAATTTAAAGAAAATTCACTTAAATGCTTCCAAAGACAGATGTGGTAAAAACTGATGGCTTATCTTTACTTTTTCTTGGCATGCTTGAGTGAATCTCTCATTACTCTATCAGAAAGAAATTAGCATTTTAATGATGTTTTTCTACCTAATTATGTAAGAAAAATGTTCATTGATACTCTCATGTAAGATGCCAATAACTGGTTTATCATCTTAAATTTTTAAGGAGAAGCTTTTACTCTATAATTGAATTATGCTTTACACAAGTTTAGTTACTTAAACTGATTAACATTTGATTCATCCAGAGTCCGTTTTAATGAAGACATGTTTCTAATGTTATCAGTATGTTAACTTCTCAAGCTACCTGCTTGCAAATTAAATAACAGAAAAGATGTCTTTCCTTAGAGATTACTTGTCTGCAAATTCATGTTGAGAAAAGGACTCCAATATATTAAACAAGTGTATTATTATTGTTAATGGATAGCATGGCACAGGTAATTAACTAGCAAATCATTAAGACTTTTTTAATGCTGTGACAGTTTTATTTACCTATAAGAGATTAATGAACACGTCAAAATTTTCTCTCTATTTCAGACCAGGCTTGAGTGGAAGTTGACAGAAGATGTTCCAACAGTTTTTTCTCTGGAGATACTTAGCTTCAGGGATCATCATTGGCTCTTTCTTCACAGTCTCCTTGGGCCAGTACGACGATGGTAAGGCTCTTGTTAGTGTGATCTTAGAGTTGGTTGGGAGTTCTTATATTAAATTAAAAAAGAAATATCACAAAAAATTATATTATGTGCAGTTTATCTTTAAAGATTAGTACCTATGTACAGTATTTGACCTTAACTAAAATAAGTTTATGAAAGTGGCATCATCTGCATTTTGTGTCTTAATACAGGCTGAGTAGAGTGGAAAATCTAATATAAGACCCGTTACAAATGCTCATTTTCACTAAACAGATACTTAATTACTATTAAAAATATTAAATTCTACTGAAAAATCCTGGTATGTGGTCAAATGTCTCAAAGAAAGCTCATAATACAAAAGATATCAAAATTTTATGAGATAAAACTTCTAAGGATCACAGTAAAAGCTGTATGTGGTTTTAGTGTTAGCACTCTACTTAGTGTTGCATTATTATACATCCCCTTCTTTACTCAGAAAGAGTGAAGAAATATAAAGGAATTTTTATTTGAGTTCTAAAGTCATTCCCTGATAATAAGTCAATCAGTTTGGAAAGATATATTTATCTTCATTCTCTGCAGGGAGATTTAACACGTTATGTCTGTAATGATTGAAATGTGCCTTTGTCAGCTATTTCAATATTAGAGGAAACTGTCCTTGAATGCTGAATGGGAGTTAGAGTTTTCTACGCATGCATAGATAGATAATAGATATGGATAGATAGATAGATAGATAGATAGATAGATAGATAGATAGATAGATAGATGATAGGACAGAGGGAGAGAGAGAGAGAGAGAGAGAGAGAGAGAGAGAGAGAGAGAGACAGAGAGAGAGAGAGTTGAATGGAAGAAAAAACTGTGGGCAAATTTTTTTCTTAAAGTTTTAGTATCCAAGAGAATTCATTCTTTTTTTCCTTTCTTTTGGTTGCTTATACTAAATAACATTTGTTCAGAGCACATGGACAATTAAATGTCTCATAATTTTGTTTTCCTGTGATCATGTTGCTTTTAGGTATAGCAAAATATGTGACTGTCTTTTTTACTTTGCTTAACAAAACTGACTGACTGATGGTGCATATGGATTACTATTATTTTATCCAAATAGTGTTCAATTTATGCATATTCTCACTCTACTATTTTGACAGGTTATTATCCTTAGAAATTTACAGAATAATCTACAATAGTATTTTAATAAGGTCAGTTGGTTTATCTCTGAACACTCTTGCTAATTACCACAAAGTTTATTTCAAGTACACCTGAATTTCATGTTCATATCATGCTCATTTATGAATATTCTCAAATTCCAGTCTAAAAAAATGAAAAATCTATTAATAAATAATTATATGAGACCAAAGCAAAACAAAATCATTATTTTAAATGTGTGATTTTCGGTTGTATCCTAAGAGTATATGAATAATCAATGTGTTGATATTTCTTGTATTTCATTTCCATTTCCATTCTATTTTATTCGTATTTAGTGTTCACACCTGCCAGTCTCCATACTGCTTCTCCTATTAACAATTTGCAAACATATATCCTTACCACAGTGCAACTTATCAGAGGAAATAATTCCTGTTAAACTAAAATGCTACTGATTGTTTCCTTTCATAGTTTTTGTAAAGACACACAACACATATACATATATGCATTTTCTAGATTATATAACAAATATGTCGTTTAGAATGACAAGTCAACAAAGAATATTGTTAATTACAACACTGACTCCAGGAAAATTTCTCTACCCATCTGACTTTCGTCTGTAAAGAAATCTTGGCTGTGTTCTTTTTCTGATTTATATTCACATTTGCATTTCTTCTATCCTTTTATTCTGAAAGTGTGTAATCTTGCGGATCTTTGTACTCCCAAAGGGAGCTTCAGTTTTTAAATAAAGTTTGAAATATTGGCACTATTCTTGTTTGGTATTCCTGTAATTAGTTTCAAATATAGAGGAAACTTCTCTAAATTATATCCTTGTACGTGGAGAGAACACATCAATAGCATTTCTATAATTCAGTAATAGGAACTCTTACAGAACATATGAATACTAAAGAACTTAAAAGAATTGGACATGGATAAATAGGATACCAATTATATTCATTAATTGCTGGAAGAGAGAATCAGTAGAACTCTTGTAGACATAGGTCCAGGCAGAGATATTATAAACAAAAACACAATCCTATAAGAAATATTACAAAAAATCAACAACTGGGATGCCATAATACTAAAAAGCTTTTACATAGCAAAATAAACCACCAACAGAAGGGTGGGAGTGATGATTGAAGAATTTTCCCACAGGGCAATGGAGGAAAATTACCAGATATTCTTCAGAAGACTCATATCACATCTAGAGTGATTGAAGAACTCAAAAAAGGAAAAAAATGAGACCCCAAATTTAAAGACCTAATCCAAAATACGAATCTGAAATGAATGCACACTTCTCAGAATTGATGCAGATGACATGAAAAAATGCCCAACATCACTGATTGTTTGAGATATAAAAATGATATTGAGAATCTATCTTGCTCCTGAAAGTGTTACTATTATCAAGAAATCAAACAATAACAAATGCTCACAAGGATGTGGGGAAAGAGGAAGTCTTCTCTACTGTTGTTAAGAGTGTTGATTGGTGCAACACTGTGGAAATCAGTGTGGAGATTCCTTCAAAATCTAAAACTAGAGGTTCTATGTGACCCAGCTGTAACTTTTCTTGGTATCATCCTGAGAGAATTTATACACACACACACACACACACACACACACACACACACACAAACACACACACACACACATATATATTAACATATATATGTTAACATATATATGTTAGTGGCACACTCAATCACACAATCATGGCTGCTGCTGAGTGTGGCTTTCATGATTGGTTCTTTGTCTGGTGATTGAATTGGTGGTGTAAGAGCTACACTCACCCAGGAGTGGAGCCAGCATACAGTGTAATGGCAGGAAGAAAGTGTGTCCTCTTTTGCTGTTTGCACTTGCTGTTTGTGGCCACTATGAAAGACTGGCCCTCAGCCACACCACCTGGCCTTGAAATCAGCTGAGGATGAACTGCAAACCTCCAAGAATTGTAAGAAATAAACCTTTCCTTCCCTAATGTATATGTTTATAGCACTACAATTTATAACAGATAAATCTTGAAAATAGCCCAAATGCCTTTAAACTGATGAGTGGAGACAGAAGATGTGATCTTTTTTATATACAGTGCAGTACTACTCAGCCATAAAAGACCAACTTGAGACACTTTTTAGGTAAATAGATACATCTTAAGATCATAGTCTTAAGTGAAATAAATAGGGCACACATTTGTAAATATCACATTGTTTCTCTGGTTTGAGAAACCAAACCAAGGTGTGTAAGGACAAAATGTATAATAAATATTGGGAAATAGAAAAAAAAATCATTCAAATAGGAAGGATGAATAGGAAGAAGGGAAAAGGAAAGAAGGGATAAGAAAAAGAGAAAATCAAAGGAAAAATAGAAACAAAGTTGTAAATAAAGAAAGGAATAGGAATTGAAGGGAAGGAGGGGAACGGGAAAAAAGAAGACTCAAGATGTATTATGTATAGGTACAAATTTCCTAGGATGAATGTGATCATTATGTATATCTAAAATGTACCAATAAAATAATTTTAAAATTTTATTTCCACTTAAAAGATTCACTCTCTACTAACAGACACACATATACATACACTCACACACACACACACACACACACACACACACACACACACACACACTCATATGCACATACATTATGTCCAACATGTCTTGAAATAACAGACCAGGTATTGATTGATATTTCAGGTGCCCCCTTTGTCCTTTAGAGTCAGTGAAATGAGCAAATTGTCTGGATCAGGGCTCAAATAATACAATAAAAATAATAATTATTTGTAAAATGAATGCTACCCTTTGTAGTTTTAACAAGATGAACAAATTGAAACCATTGAAAAATTACATTCTGGTCCTGTGAAAAGGCGGACCTCATTTTAAAAGTTCTCAAAAGATATTGAAATTGAACAAAAACATAATTATAATTTTGCTTAACTCAGAATCATCAAGAACTCACGTATCTCATAAAAGAGCAGCTTTTCTTGGTTGAATCTTTCTCTGTTGAATCTCTGTACCTGTTACAAACACTTCTTCATCAGCTCCCTTAAGCTCTACAATTTGGATTTTCTCACAACTCTATTGAAACTGTACTCTCTAAGGCTTCCAATGACTACCTTTTTGGGCAAATCCTATAATTTACTAACATTCTATAAATGGCATTATTGATCTAACTTTCCTGCAAGTTTTTCAACAGAGACATTTCCTAGGTGTCTGCAATCAGACTTTATCTTCAGGAAAGTATTCTGCATTTTTATGTTCGGTGGCTTTGGAATTGTCTCACTCTTATTTATGAATCCATAAAAAGCCACACTTTATAATAAGAAAATTTACTTATTTCCTGAAAATTAAGCATGATACCATCCTTTGCAAATTTTGAACTTTTCTGAATTTATTATCTGTACATATGAAGTCATTACATATATGATCACTTTTTTTCTGTATTTCACATTTTTGACCATCTATAAACTACTTAGTTAACATTTGATTGAATATCAAACTCTTGGGAGAATATTAGGAAAATAAAAAATAATGCAGACCCTGCATTCCATTGCAATAAGGGAGGTACTGTGATCAGATTTATATAAGAGAATTATATGCAATGTGTTTTGGTGGAATACACATAAAAAATCTACTGAAGAATGTGTAACAGACAGAAAATATTTACAGAAAGAATGATGAGTTTCCAGGTGAGTGAGAAATTTAAAAACCATACAGAAATTTTGGAAAAACATGAAATACCTAGTTTCTCTTCTGATTTAAAATATATACAGCTATATATGTACAGCACTTCAAATTCTACATTCTATTTTGTAATTGTGATCAGATAAGTTTAGATGTTAAAGTAGCCAAAAGTCACACAATAGTTTGAACTGGAGGTTTGCAATCACTATCTAGATTTT